GGGGGGGAATAATTTTGGCTGGGACATGCGTGTGAAAGGGAGTGGATGAGTAAGAAGCAGAAGCAAGAAGACGAGTGCAAGGAGACTCAGTTGGGAGAGATTGTGGGATTGGAAGCGATCTATCCGGGTTGCTTGAAGGTTATAAATGGTGGTTGTTTTACAAGTGATGAATTGAATGTGTTCGGTTTATGTGTGGCGGAAGAGGGCATTGATGTGCATGGTTTGTGGGCAATGAATGATGAGAGTTCGGTGTTAGTGGAGATAGGTTCGGAGATAAAGAGTGGTTTAGCACGTTTAGTACAATTCCGGTTGTTGATTTCATTAGAGTTGGAAGTAGGGAAGATACGGGAGGAGCAGCCTCGATTCGTTGTTAAGGTGGTATACCCACGGGGGTATCCACCGGAATTACCGGCGGTAACGTTAATGTTCCGTGGCTTTATGACTCAGGAGGCTTGGACACAGTTGGTGGAAGATTGTCGGGTTGTGTTACGCGATTCACAACCGCTTTTTCGGGAACGGATTATTCCGTTATGCGACTTGCTCCTTAAAGCGTTGGAACAATTATGTGCAACAAGCCAAGACAATGTGTGGCGAAAAATTAACAAGTTAACTCCCAAATCTGCCCGTGCTAAAAGCCAACTCAATGAACTTGTACCCGCCACAACGGACCAGTTGTCCAGCTCTGGTGATACGGACAATGAAGATGCGCGCTCCCGATTCCACGCTGACGTACTTAAAGAGATCGGACGCAAAATCCAAGACCAAGAACTGCTTGCTCCAGATCATTCCAGCTCTCTCGAAAGCAGTCAGACCGACTCTCAATCCGACTTCCATACCGACTTCAGCTCTTCCGCGGCTTTTACCGACGAGGAAGGCGAACCAAGCGATATGACGCTGCTGTTGAACCCCCTCGACATGTACGCCTTCCAGCCCACGCGTGTGAAGCGACGCGCCAAGACACGCAAAGTCCAGGTCCGACGCGACCTGGCGGTGGCGCCCCTGGCACCCCCGGGCCGTAGCACCCGCAAGATGGTCAATTTAGGCCGCCGCGCGGGCGAGAAAACGATCCCCGTTTTGCACCGTACAGTCAGCCTGCCGCGGCTTCTGGGGGCTTCACGCAGCAGCAGTCGGCTACTGAGTGACTTCGCGTCCTTCACCCAGTTCGACCCGGGCGATGGAGTAATCATGTCCCTAGCGGCAGCGAACAAGATCGACAAACGCACTTACTGGATTCGGATTGTTCGAATCGAACACGTGTTGGCGCGTCTGCAGCTCCTAGCGGGCGTGGATAAAGTTGCGAGCTACTTCGTCTCTGCCATCCAATCCTTCTCGCATATGGAGCATCCCCACATCGGTCGGGTCTACTCCACTTGGCTCGAGTCCGTTAATATAGGCGCCCTTTCCCAGCTCCTGCCTGCACATGGCGCTAAACGCACCATTTCCGCCCCTGGCCCGCTTGCTCGTGTCGGGCCCCTGACCGGCGCCCGCGCCGGGCCAGGCGAGGTCTGCTGCGTGGTGCAACTCGACCAGCCGGTCATGCCGCGGCTCATGAGTGCGGAAGGCGCTCGCATGCACGCACGAGTGTCCAAACTGCCTTCACGCATCTTCCAACAGTCACTCGAGACCATCTGCTTCTTGCACCGTCACAACATGGCCTTTCTCTGCGACTACTCCGACGTACGAGCAACCACCGATGACCTCGGACTCAACATCAGCCTCCAGTACCCGTCCTTCCACGTCCTCCTCACGCTCGCGATACAGAACCTGCTCACCCTCGGTGTCGACGCAGCACCCGCCTCCGGCGCAGTTGCAGAACCCAGACTCCTCGGGCAGACAATCGCACCTGGGCAGACAATCCCACCTGGGCAGACCATCCCACCTGGGCAGACCATCCCACCTGGGCAGACCATCCCGCCTGGGCAGACCATCCTACCCGGGCAGACCCCCAGGACGGTCAATGCAGGTTTATTACGGGTCTCGCACACAGTAGGAGGGTATGGTGCCCGCAAGACCTTGACGCCGTTCCAAATCGTTGCGCAGACGTTGGGATTGTCGCCGATCGTGAGTCGCTGTCTGGAGGCGCATAATGCGGTGTGTTTCTCGGCTGTCAAATCACCGGCGGGGGCTTGCGAGGTCTTGCGTAAGGCTGATCTAGTTCTCTTCTGTGACTCAATGGTTAAGTTGCTTAAATTCTTTGAGAAGGAAACTGGGAAAGGACAAGACCCCTCGCTCCTCGCTCAGTGTGCCGCAGTTCTCAATTTCAAGACCCTCGACAGCGTCCCCGACCCCGTCGACTTCATGCAGTCGTCCCATCTACTTGTCCATAGAGACGACCTCAAACATCTCCTCTACGCACTATCCAATCCCGCTTCTCATGAAAGCCACCTCCTCCTAGATAGACTCCTTACCCGAAAGCTCGAGGCCAGAAGAACCGTTCCCTATCTCTTCCAGTCACGCGAGGATCTCCTCGCACTCGGCTGGATCGACGACCTAGCAGACAAACTGTCTGTACTGCAGTGGCACCTCGACTACAAAGCAAACAATACATCTCTTATCATCAAGGCATTGCTAGTAACCTACCTCGACGCCATCACTCTCCCAATCACTCCTACCCCC